TAGTAATATTTTTTTATTTATAATTAATAACATCTTTTAATAACCTGTAATTTAGAAAACCTATTTTTTTTGATAAGTTAATATTAAATCCATCTCTTTTACATTGTATTAAAAATTCATTAAAAAAATATTTTTTATCACAATAAAATGAGAATTCTTTTTTCTTAAAACTGAAAATAATTTTTTTTTTAAATTAACTAAGACATTGTCTTAGAATTAAAACTTTTTTTAGCCACATTAAGATCTTTTTAGTAAATTACTAACAATTGATTTCTTAAAAATTAAATCAATCCTTCTCTTCAAAAATTAAAATTAATTGTTCTTTTTTTAAATAAAATCAAAAAATAAAGAATTCCTAACTTGGCCGCTTCAATGTTGTCTGACCATCATTTGATCCCTATTCATCTTTGCTTACTAATCCAGGATTTTTATTCCTATTTTGATTTTTCGGTTGTAATTATGCGAGGACATCATCACCTTTATTTCTTTATTATTTTTGCATTTTTTGGGTTTTTAATTTATGCGAGGCTATCGTCGCTGTTTGTTTTTTCAATTCCGTTACCGTTCTTACACTTTCCCGTATTTACATTCTGCCACGTAATTAATTTGTCGTTTGCATGACATTATTTACCATTCCCTTCTGAAGGATTAGGTCTAGCTGTTTGACGACCATGTCAATAGTCCTCTCCTTTGACCCATTTCAAAACCCTAATTTCCTAGGCGTCCCGCCTGTCACACCCTAATTTTTGACCATAAGATCTCACCTCCTCGTGCTTTTTTCTTCCTTGTTTTCTATCTTTATGCTTTTATGCGCGTATTTATTATGTTTAACGAGCTCATGCAGGTGCACTGTTTTCAAGTAGAACTGGAATTCGTCCTCTCAATTTAATACTTCAGATTATAACTAAGGGATCCAGATTTGAAAGTCTTAAGGTTTCCACGGGTTGAGGAACTCTGATAATGGGCATGTTACCCCCTCCAGAAAGTGAAGGTTTTCCTTACGTTGATGTTATGCACGAGAATTTATGGATTATTATGGTCGTTGCAAGGTTATTCTTGAAGTCGAGATACATTTATCTCAAGTTCGAAGTTTATTAAGCTTTAGTGTACTGGATTTGGGTATTGCATATTTGGTTATAGCGTGATTGCCTGTCTTGGATTCTTCTATTAAATCAAAAGGGCGTTTCCAAACTCGTGACCTCTTTGCAAGCTGTTTTTGATCCAAGGATTGAAGTTGTGGAGTTATAGAAACTAAAGTGACCAGATAAGGGAGATTTCAGTTCATATTTCAAACTACTAGTTCAATGAAACTTTTCAGAGAGCTTCGTTTGTTGGAAATGGAGTTTGTGTGTTGTTACAGCTGATACATGTCTCTCTCATCCAATTGGAATGATTTCATAAAGGGTTATGATTATGATTTCAAAAAGTTGTTTGACACAATAGTAATTTGTCCAAGAGGACTCGTTCATACGCCACACTCATGGTCACCATCAAACAATTAAAAACTCAAAGGAACCATACTAGAACAACAACATTCCCAACTAATAAAAAACCAAGAATTTAGAGAAGAGAGGAAGAGCATGGCACGTGATTATTTGGTAGAGGGCGGCCTCACTATTGTTTGTTTATGCATATGTTTGAAACCTGTGATTTACACCCAACTCGTTTACATGAGACATTATTTGAATTACAATGTTGAAAAGGAAGCATTACAATGTTAAGCGTACAACATCCAGTACTACGGTATTCATTACAAAGAGTTTCATAAAATAAAACCATCCTAGTTAACAATCATTAATTTCTCTACAAGACTTTGGTGGGAGACACAATGGCTACGAACACAGAGAGCCTGCCGTAACAACGTTTGATAGCTACCTATTGAACCAAAATATCGCCTGCTTAATTCAATATAGCTTTCTCGCGATACCGCGATATAGCTTGCTAATGACTTACGAGAAATGGCCATGAGAGCACTAGTTGCTGTTGTTGATCAAACTTAAGAAAGGTTTTCCATCATGGTGTAATCGGCTTCAAAATTCCCTCCGAATCCGAAACCTTCCATCAAACAGCAGACCCTAAGAATGTTTGGTTCACCCGCTATTACCGAAGGAATTTCCTATAATTCACAAATCAGTTCACGTCAGCCCTCACAAATATCATAGCAAATTATTAGCTAAAATGTGAACAGGGTGATAAAAGCAAGCTTTAACAATTAGTTTACCAAAATCAAACAGAGGATGAAAGAAGCTATGGAATAGAATGCGGGAGGAATCTCGAGAGGAAGAAGAGCTTCGTACCTTGTCGGTTTTTCCATGGATGAGGGTATTTTCTTATCTCATAAAGACATTAATATCAGCGACTTCCATTCGTAAATAGCAGTTCACAACAAAGCGACTACAAGCTTCTTCATTTGTGTCTTCGACATCTCTCAACTTCCATCGAAAAGACAACAACCTACAAGAAGACCGAAAACAGGCGGGCACAAATCATACCATCATTTGTCCTTCTTCTTGGGTCGGGTGGGTCTGGGCGATGAGAAAAGCTTTAGTGTTTGCAGAATATTATTCCTTCATCACCTCCACCTGAGTTGAAGTTGGAGTAGGAGAAGGATGAGCCTGGAGCACATTAGTTGTCATCATAACCTTCCTTCTCCTAAAAATATTCTTGACGCACACCATGGTATCTGCAGAAAATAGAAAAGATACTGAAAAAGTGTTAAAGGAATATCATAAACAAGTATAAAGACGAATTCTCCTCCTCACTAAAATTTTTTTATCTCTCCTGAGCATCAATCGCTTCCATTACCTCCCGAGTGTTAATAAGTCACCTCTCTTGCATGGAGGGCCCCACATTAAAAGAAAGTTCATCTTATTGATAACCCAACGACTCCCAAAAGGTCATCAAAACTCTTTCATCGACACTTCCTCTAGGGGTAAGAGATTAAGATGGAATGTCATATGTATGTGGTTCCTAGTTGAAGTGGCTTTTGACCCAGCATTTTGATATCATGTCTTTACATTTATCCAGCTCCATTGAAGAAGGACATGTTGATGTAGATTCTTCCTTAGGGACCTTGTAGAATATAGAATGCGCCTCAGGAGTCTATAGAATCACCATAATAAAGCAGTCCTTGAAATTCTTTGAACTTTTAATATATACGTCAAACATTTTAGAGGTTTGGTTCAATGAGATCAATCCTTATCCCTGGTAAGGATCCTTGGAAGTACGTGATACATTGAAAAGGTTAAAAATGAGGTTAAGTTACGACTCATTGTCTTAGTATTCACACAATTACTAAAACATCATAACAAAATCCCATGCTAACTGGGAAGCGGAAATCTTTAAGCGCCTTAATACACCTTCCCCAAAACCGCTGAAGGGAAACTTGAACTTCAGTCGGGAAATATGCATTCATAAAAAGGGATGAAATACATATTAAAGTAATTGCAATTCCTCTTATGGGAGTCGACATGTGAAACTAACCAAGTAGAGGAATGACCAATTTTTATGCGAGCATCCTTCACTCTATTCACACTTCTATATAAAGAGATTGTTTCCACTAGCTCGGGGTCCACCCGACGATACAGATTGGCGTCTTTCATCTCCCGAGTCTTTCGTCTCCACCAAAACGTGCACACTCCCGTCGAACCATGTTCTCCCGTCGAAAATCATTTGAAAATCCAAAATCAATTGTCCATAATGAAATAAAATGGAAAGATGAAAAACAACGGTTTGATCTCGCCTTAGAATGTAACGACACTTGAGTGCACTCGAGAATCCTAGGGTAAAGTAGAAAGCTCATAACCTACAAATCTAGGGCCACGTGTAAGGAAATCTTGCAAAACATCTCAATGATGAGACAGGAAATTAATATGCCTAATCCATGAATCTCTTCCACTACTCCACATAAGGATCCCTACCTAGAGAATCTGACCCAATCTCTTGAAAGCTTTCTTGTATGCCATACCACGACAAGCTTTGTGGACAACTATTTTGGGCCAACCATAGGGCCAAAGTGAAATAGGTCCAATTATCATCCATCATATATAACTCACCACATGTATAGTCTAAAGTACAATTTTGATCATAACTCACTCCATCATTTTTTTTTCTCACTCATTGACTTGAGCTTTGAAGTGCTAACCTTGCAGATCTGCCTCGTACAAATGTACTGAAAATTTGCACAACCGCATTAAGAATCTACACTAATAATTCTTGTTCCTGAATGGAACAACAATGGTAAGCAATGAAACACAAAAGTTCTAAAAATTCCCGTGTTTGAAGTTGTTCAAGTTGACAAATTTGCCTAAATTTGAAAAGAATGACAAATTTTCAGTCTAGAATGTTGACCACTACTAAATAGAAGAGGCGATTAATACAACACGTCTGAGTTTGTGAGAAGTGACACTTTGTTTGAAAAATAAAATCCCCCAAAATAAAGAGCTCATTGTGGCGTTTGTAGAGGTTGAAGACAACAAACATCTTTTCTTGAATTGCCATAAGAGTGTTAGTGTTGGGAACAAATGAGACTTTGACCTATCATGCAACAGATGTTGAGTGATAACACCCTTTTTGCAGTAACTGTTTTTTCTCCTTTGTAGGAATTGAATCAGGACCAATATGCAATGTTCTCAACAATATTGTGTAGCATTTGAAAGAATCAACAAAGACAATTTGTTATTGTGTTTATTACCTATTATTACGATGGAGAAATGCTAAACAACTCTAATTTCCTAAGACTATCAAAGCTAAGGTCCCATGCATACCATTTAATGATATGAGTTAAGCCATTTCACAATGCTATGATGCTTGAGACCAAATTTATTCCATATAGGAAACGTTGATGCTTCATTATAATCTATTTTTGAGAGTCTCACATTAAATAAAATGTTGCCTAAAAATGTATTTATAAGGAGACATTTCATATCACTTTCAAAATGGTACCGAGTCTATCAAAGATTGTTTAGCAGATTCTAAAATTCTGATACAAAAACAAGAATTTATGATTTCTCTTCATCCATCAAAACAGAATCTCTAGTGTGTTTGCTAGGGATTGTTGAACCATTACCTTCACAAAAACTGTTACTAGTAATTGATGAAGAAGGTGAAATGCAACCATTTGAGCCTATTGAAACATTTCCATTTCCATTTCCATATGATCCTGGAACAAATTGCAATCCAATGTTTGGTGTGAAAATGTTCGTAACCGCCACCATCGGCGCGTGACACCACTGCATTGCATTAGGATCAATACCAAAAGGGTTACACATCTGCATTGATGATTGAACCATGGAAGTATAATTGTTCCACCTTTGATTCACTGGAATCATCCATGGAGCTGAAGGGTAACTCTGCAACTGTTTTGACCTATTTTGTTCGGCTTCGGTTAACTCGTTTCCTCGAGTAAAACCATTTGTCACAGAAGACACACATAACGACGATTCTTCATCTCCGTTTTCTCTACAATTGTTACCACCACCTGCATCAACATTTCTCTTTTGGTTCATAAGGTTAAGCATCGATGTTCTTGATTCGTCCAGAGAGCCATTTTCTCGACCGAATTTAAGGACAATACCATTATCATTAGTGATATGCTTGTTCTTCCGTCTCCCTGCACCGACAGCAACGTTTCTCATCGTTCCACCTGCTGTCCAATACCTATGACAGCTCCGACAGAAATGACGAGGCTGATTGACATTGTAATTGTTGAAATAACAGAATTTCGTGTCAAAACTTTTGCATCTCGGACACTGAACAATCTTGTCCGGCTTCTTTAGGACTTTGTCTTGTTCTTTGCTGCTTGTTTCCATGGTATCTTCCACAGTGTTGGTAGTAACTTTTGATTCATCTTCATCATTTGAAGAATTCTTCGATTTCTAAAATGAAAACTATAATCAGTGATCTATGAAGTACCGAAACCAGAAACATATGACACTGACACAAACACATCCTATGAAACACGAACATCAGAAACATGACACTGACACAAACACGCCGAAATATGACATAACACAAACACGTCAAACATGACACTGACACAAACAAATCGAAACATGACACGACACATAGACAATTATTTTTAGAGATGTCAATACTACAGAGTCGGCCACAAATCATGAAGAATAATATCATAAACAATGCAACAGATCCAATCTGATATCAGAAGATTCATAACAAAAAAATCTACAATCTGAAGAAATTAACCAAATATATTACCTATATTTTCCTCTAAAAAATTAACAACATCACAAACCCTAGTCTCAATTTATTAAATTCATCTATGAACATAAAATTAAATTATCAATTATAATTTTACACTAAAAGATAAAAAGAAAAAAAAATCATTTACCATGGTTGTAGAATTGGCCTGAATCTGAGAACTCGCCGGAATATGATAATCCGGCACCGGAATCTTCTTACCAAAGAGCATGAAACTAGAAGCTTTAACAGACATGTCATCTTCACCATTCATTTTTGATGTTGTTATTGTTGTTGTTGGTGAAATTTATGATGTTTCTAAATAGCTTCAACACACATAAACATATATAAATAGAGAAAGGTGTGGTAATGAAATGAGAAAAAGAGAAAGTGTTTGGTGAAAAAAGTGAAAAGCTTTTAATTTGACAGAACTTTTCAAAGGGAAAAGTTTGCACTAAAATACCCCACACACATAAAAGACTTTGAAAATTAAAAGTCACACTGCAAAAAAAAAAGTACAAAAGAACAAGAGCCATCATATAAACACAGTACTACCATCGTTTTATGCTTTTGTTTTTTCTCTATTTTCTTTTTTTCATTTCTTTTTCCTTTTACTTCAATTAAATGTTTAAGTTATGTTTGGTTCTACTTTTAAAAAAATTCAAAAGTTATTTTAAAAGTATATGATTTATTATCTTTCAAATTTTCTTTAGGATCTTAAAGTTGGAAACTAAATATTTTTTATTATAGATTTGATTTTTAAGTTACATTTATTATTTAAATTACTTTTACAAAAATGTATTTTGATATAATTTTTGAATTTTTAATCTTACTATTACCATATTAAATATTAAAAATTTTATTTTATTTAAAATTAATTTGTGTCACCACATAACTAAACACATTAAACTTTATATTAGTTGAAAATGCTACAATATTAGATTGTTTTCACTTTTGTTTGTTAGACTAGGTCTCAAATGACACACGTGTTTTCTTCGAAAGAAGATAAGCGGTTATATAGCCAATACGATAGGTGCAACATTCCTTTTTATGAATGTTTATTCACATTTATAAATTTTTCCTCCTTTATAATGAGTTTGACGTCAGAGTAATAAACCACTTGTTAATTTCTCTCTCGCAATTGCACCTGGTGAGCTGAGCATTCATCAAATTTTTTAGCATTAGTGTGAGTACGAGGGAGTAAGTCGATTGTGACGTTGTTCATTTACCTATTTAAAACTCAGAAAAACCCAAAATTTCTAAATGATACAGGTTTGTATTTCTTAAGGTAGAAAAGTAAATATTTTGAAACTTACTCTAACAACATGAAAGGTTTTAAGCGTTACTTCTTTCTAGTTGTTTCTCTTAATAAAAAACTCATGAAAGTATTTACAAATTAGAACATGGTCCCCTACCGACGTGCACATATATATTTTGTAAGTATTGGAGCCATGGTCACTTTTTAACGGGGGAATGATTCTGTCTTTACAAGAAAGATGACTTCTCTATGAAGAGTTATATTTGAAGAATTAGTTTGTAGCATTTTATAAGAAGCTTGGCAATACTGGTGGCGTTGTTCCGTCTGATACGGCGTTAATAAAATGGGTTGAAGAGGTTCATTCAGACCCGCTGGATAGTGGATGCAAAATAAAAGAAAGAGCAGAAGAAAATCTTTGGTAAGTGACACAAGAGTTTCATTTTCCTTGATTTATATTTTTGAATTACCCCTTCTCAGATGACACCATTTTTTATTGTGTAGATATAATGAAGAGCGAAAAAGCAATGTGGAAAATAAGGATAGAGGTCCAGACTTTGTTTTCTTTTGGTCGCCATTCCGAGTGCTTTGTATGTCAAGGAAGCTTCTACCTTGTGCACACCAACTGGTACACCTTCTGATCTGGTAACCAGTTCAACTATTTTGATCACTCGTCCCCTACTCAATAGAAATCTGGATCCCATCTGGCCAACAAAGGCAGATGAATTTTTTCCCTCTCCGCGGTTGGAGGGCGAGGAAGAATTGATTCATATCCCCGAACTTGAGGAACTTCAAGTTACAAGGAGGCCTAGTAAATATAATTCCTCAAACTACTTTCAAAATTATCGACTGACTACATAAACCAACACGAGTCTTTTCAACATGATTTATCCTCACTCACACACTTTTAGAGAAACTTCCCAAAAGTTCATCCATCCAAATACCACTCTAAGTCAAGCACGCTTAACTATGAAGTTCTTATTTGTTATGTTACCGAAAATAAGATGTTTCTTGTTGGTATAGGTAGTTTTAATCAATCCTTATAAGCCTTTCTTCAAACATGCAGTCTCATACTCGCACAACCTTGGGATCCCTATCGTTCTAATGTGAATTTAATTTTTTCTTAGAAGTTGCCACGAGTTGCTCACTGTCCTACTTTGTGCATCGACGACCTCTCCTCGGCCTCGCCGGCCTCGGGTGTTACATGTCCACCAGCTTCTGCTTGGTTCGTCCTTGAACCACATTGTACTAGGAGAGGTATACTCTGATACCATTTGAAATGCTCCAGATTGCTTTTAGAATTAATGACTGAATCTACAAACTAGCAGAATCTTTTCAGCATGTTTTGTTCTCAATCACACGCTTTCCGAGAAACTTCCCAAAAAGTCATCCATCAAAATACTACTCCAAGTCAAGCACGCTTAACTATGAAGTTCTTATTTGTTAGGCTATCAAAAAGAAGATTCGTATTATTGGTATAGGTAGTACTAATCAATCTTTATATGCATTCATTCAACCATTCAGTCTCATACCTGCACAGCCTCGGGATCCCACTTATTACGATGTGAATTTAGTTTTTTCCAAGATGCTACTAGGAGCCGCTTATTTTCATGTCTGTGCACCGACAACCACTCTCCATCCTCTTCAACTTTGGGTGTTATAGTAAATATCCCGACTTAAGTCGGCCGAAAGGAAAACTTTTGTTCGAGTTGAGACATCTTCTATGTTGCTAAGTTGTCCTAGCTAGAGGATGACCAAGGATTTTATGTTCTCAACTTCTTATGAGGATTATGCCTACTTCTCTAGTTTCTTCAAGGAAGCTCGGCAGGGGGAATCAATAGATTTAACTTACCATACTTGTTTAACGTCTTCCATTCCAACGTTCGGGATGCTTTGGCGTTTGCTTAGAAATCTTTGTCCAATGTGGATGCCGCTTTATATAAAGCAAATAGATAGGTCTTTGAATCCTTATAGGAAAAGGATAAAAGAGTTGGAAAAGTCTTTAAAAGAGTCTCAAGAGAGTTAGAACAAAGCTAAAAATGGCCTCCGTGCAATGCGCCTCGAGAATCTTGATCTTTCCAAGTAATTTACTAAGTAAATAGAATAAAGTTACTTTGTTTCCAAGGACACCTTGAGAGTTTCTTGAAATAGGTAAAGTATTTTTATTCTATTGTATCGATTTTCCGAGAGCAAGTTCGTCTTGATCAGGATATCAAAAAAGGGAAATTAGTCTACTTGATCAATTAATATTTCTTATTTTTTATTAGCGTGCTTGTACTCGACGTATGTAAATATTCATTACTTTTTTTCTTTAATATATGTTTCATTTTGTTACTTACTAACTCATATTTACCTTCTTTTATGGTGTTGATTTTCGTCCCAAGTTCGTTTCTATAGGACACATATTTTTCTTTGAAGTTGTGCTATATTACATCATAAGATCGCTTTCCGATCTTTCATGTCACGATATAACACATCATGCAAACACATATGACATGCCATATTAACGCATTATTGTCCACCATGCTATCCATATTGAACTCATTTACTTTCTTAATATGTTCTTGACTTTGTTTGCCACTTAACTGAATTAGTGACAACTATAAATTACTTTTTATCTTACTCATGCTCATTTACAAAAGATAGTGTTACAAAATCAACCTAAATTATTTGCCACTTAACTGAATCCAAAAAAATTTAAATACAATTTTTTAAATGTGATTTTTACTATTTTTTAATGAAAATATGACATATTATAATTTTCTCCTACATATATAATTTCCTCCTATTTTTACTCCTTAAACAATATTTAGATACCTCTGTCATATTTTTATCAAAAAAATAATATAAATTACACCTAAAATTCAAACGAATTGTATCTAAGTATTTTTCTTAATTATTTAGTCAAAAATAAAAAGTGTACATGTTACTTAATTATTTATGATTTAATTATTTAAGATGGGTGTAAATTTATTTGTATATTAAAAATTCCAATTCATAAAGGTGTAACTTCTGTTTAATAAAAAACTCATAATATTTTATATAAAACTAAAAAGGTTATTTTCCTGGCCCTTTTTCAAATTTATACGACCTTTTAAAATCATGCAAGTAAAGAAAAAGTTCCCTTTAACCAAAGAAAACTAAAAGTGTCTTTATCAACCACAACAACAACAAAGTGTTGCTCTTTTTCTTTATGTAAACTTTTCCATGAAAGTGTCACCGAAGACGAAACTAAACCATTGGACCGCTTAATAATGAATAAAAATTCTTTCACCTATCATTTAATATTTTTTATTAACGGAATATTAAATAGTTTAAAAATATTTTCTTAGAATTTTTTAGAATTGTTTTTAAACATTAATTGATTAGGGAGAAAAAAATAGATATATTCCATTTCACAACATTAATATATACTATTATTATTTTTGGGGAAGTGACAGGTGTCAGATGAGTGATGAAATAGAGAAACAAGAGCCAAGAGATGTAGTGGCTAAGAAAGGTTATGATTACGTGAGAAAGAGAAAGAAGGGGACCCACTAAAAAGGAAAAAGTGCCGAAAAGTGATGTCGACAACTTTTTCTATTAGATTCGCTTTTTACGCCGCTTTCAATGTTTTTGACACATTTCTGGTTAATACATCGGGCCCTGTCTTTTTATTTATTGCCATTTGGCAGTTACTGTTTTCTATTAAATGCTTTCTTGTCGTTTTTTTATTCTCCATAAGGTGTGTGTGATATAGTACTACTGGTTCTTAAGGACTAACTAGTTGGTTAAGAAACATAATACTTATGTCTCTTCTATATTTTATGTCAAATTTGATACATATTTGTAAAGTTCTACCTTCCACCCATTTCCATAATTTAAACAATTTTAAACAATTATTTTAAGAAAATATATTTTAAAAATTATAAGAGATAAACTAATATATTAAAATGTTTTATATATGTATATAGTTAATTTTAATTTTTCACATTTCAAAACACTATGATATTAATTTGAATTTATTTAAAAAGTAAATA